TGAGTCATTTAAATTATATAATTTCTAAGTCATATTCTACACTTGCCTTTATTCGGCGCTTTGGTTCAGACTTTACTGATCCTTACACTCTAAAATTACTATTTACCTCGCTTGTACGATCTAAGTTAGAATATGCGGTCTTTATATGGAGGCCATATCACCTTTGTCACATTAATAGACTTGAGCGAATTCAAAAGAATTTTCTTCGTTTTGCTCTCAGATCGCTTAACTTTGCTGAACCGATTCCTTCGTATGATGCTAGATGTGCTTTAATAAGCTTGAAGTCTTTACAAAATAGACGGAGTGTTCTTTCACTCTGCTTTATCTTTGATATTATCAGTGGAGAAATTGATTGTCCATTTCTTTTAGAGCGCATTTATTTTTACATTCCACAAAGAAAATTGCGGAGCAATGATTTATTCTTTCTGGAGCGAGTCCGGACGGTTTATGCATCCTATGCTCCGATTCATAGAGCATTGAAAGAATTTAATCAAATCTCAAATTCTTTGGCCTTTGATTTCTCGTCGCCTAAGCAATTGTTTAAATTATCATTGAATGAACTATATAGTTAAGCTTGAACTTGTATTGTTAAGTATTTTTGTAGCAGTTTGTAAGAAATCATGTATTTCTAGATTTACTAGATATGAACAAATATATAATTACAGTACATAAAAACTGATTTGTAACCCACTTCAAACAGGAAGAACGTTATCAATTCGTCAGAATATTTTTATATTTTTTATTTTTATGTAGATCATGTAGAAACTAACGGTACTCTTAAATTTGTATATGAGAATTGAAGTCGGTTTTGTTTTTTGCTTAAAAATGACTTGTTATATTAACATTATGTTTGTAAGATTCGATCTACCACCAAAGTGTTAATAGAAGAATGTAATGTTGGAAAAACCGAAATCTATAAATGTGTGCTTAGCAAAACCTTAATCGTACATAGATTATTATATATTTTTTTTTTGCAGACTTAAAAGTGTGTAGGGTAAAGTAGGGCATACGACGCACATTTTACTTGAGGAGTTGCAAAATAAATGTTTTTTTTTTCTTTTAACAAGATCATGCGTTTTGGGATCTTTAGTGGCTAAAGCGTGTTAATGAACTTTGTTTGCAGAAGAATCGTGTATTAAAATGATGTTTGATCTTTCCTGAAAATAAGCTACGTTTTAGTAAGTAATACAAAGCTATATTTTTCTTATTCGAAATTATTTGTTTATTGTACTTTAAATTGGTTATTCCTAAATGGCATTTTAATAAATAAGCGCTATACTAACTGGACCACTATAAAACCGGAAAAACCTGTCAATAAAAAGAAAATGCAGTTATATCTGCTTCTACATGGAAGGATGTTTAGTGAATACCAAGAAACCTCAGGAAGCTATGAAAGACGACTTTTAGATTACAACTTTGAAAAAACACAGTGTAACCATTCAAACCGTTTTTTTTTATTAGGTTGTTGTTGTTTTAGTGGCAGTACTGCTAAAACAGGTCGTATTTTTGAAAATCTGTAGGACGCAGTGGATGTCCTACTTGTCTCCAGTGACCACACAGTCGCTGCATAGTTTAGAACCGCCCGCCCAATTGCCTTGTACGTTGCCCTGTGCCTTTGCCCCAGGTGCTGCCAGCTGGCGACTCGATTGACAATTATACATGTATGCCGAGAAGGAGACCAGACGGTCGAATGAACTCCGAGGATTTTCGGGTAACTCACCGTCGGAATTGGTTTGCCATCGACGTGAATACCCCGCTGCAGTCTGACCTCCTTTGTCCAGGTGGTAAAAAGGGTTGCCGGGGATTTTGTTGGGGGGAGGGCTAGGCTCCTTGCAGTGAAGAAGCAAGAAAGTTTGGTGAGGTAACCGTTTACTTTCGAGCACAAGTCATCAATCCCATACCCAGACGCCATTATCGAGCATAAGAGACAATCGAGACTCCCTCTGGTAGTTGAGCGAGCTTTGAAATGTACTAAACAAAAAGAAGTGAGGAAAGGACACCACCCTGTGGGACCACCTTGTTTAATTTTTCTCGGTTTGCTGGTTTTGTCTCCGAAAATGACCAACAAATATCGACCACTTAAATAATTCGCCGACCACCCCTTGAGCCCCTGTGGGAGAGAGGAAGCCTTAATGTCCTTTAGTAGCTTGGAATGGCTAAAGGTTTCAAATGCCTTTGACAGATCCAAGACTGTTCTCTGCCAGGGGCGGTTTTGGTTAAGGCTACGAGTTATCTGGGTGTTTACGGCGTTAAACGCTGTTGTACACAGCAGAGCATTTTACGAAACTTATACTGCTGCCTCAATGAGATCGAGTGGTTTGTGTAGTGCGGGAGTAGCAAGTCCTCAAGTGTCTTTGTTACCGGGGAAGGGAGTGGCGGTCGCCGAAGGAAAATTCGACTATGTCGTCACGCTTCGTCGTTGACCAGAGCTTGCTCACACCAGGGGTGAAGTTACCAGTCTTCAAATGCTCTTCCCACTTCTTCGGGGCGAAGGTTGTCACGCTCATCGGTCAGAACAGCCACTTCCGCTGGGATGAAGCAAGCTGCAGTGACAAACCTTCGGAACTTACGCTCACCTACGTGAAAATCGGTTGGTGTGGGAAGGGTAGAAAAGGTCGTCGTTCATTGTGCAGAACGTCGAATCGTCTATCTGCTCAGCCAAGTGTGTTCCCCCACGATCATTCGACAGGCTTGAATGCCAAAGATTGTGGTGCGCGTTGAAGTTACCGACTACCATCCGGAACGCACCTATTTCAGGTATTGAATTGCTGGGCAACTTCGTCTCTTGGACCGCAGCTATTAATATTCCATGCCGACCCATAAACGGGGGTGGGTCGACGAAACAGCAGCACTTGGTCCGCCAAAACCCGAGTCGTTCCCGTACGTAGATCGGGCTTGCGTGAGAATGTCATGGACACCGTCGAGTCTAGTAGTTGGGTAACGTGCGTCTGGATGGCATCTGTGCGTCTGAGGAGATGCATTTTGTCATGCCTGATTTTTAGGATT